CAGCGGCCCCCCAGCCAGCTTTCCCCTAGCTTATTTACCGAACATGACATCATATGGTGTGGAATATCCCTTTGGCCAGTTTGGGTCAGCTGTCCTGGCTGTGCCCCCTCCCAGCTCCTTGTGCATCTCCAGCCTTCTCAGTCAGTAGAGCATGAGAAGCTGAGAAGTCCTTGGCTTAGTGTAAGCAGTGCTTAGCAACAACTAAAACATCAGTGTGTTATCAACATTATTCTCATACTAAATCCAAAACACAGCACTATACCAGCTACTAGGAAGAAAATTAACTCTATCTCAGCCGAAACCAGGACAGCGAACTATCTGGAATCTTTAAAGTCAATGGGAAGAAGTAAAAAATTGTATCATGCAAATCATCTGACCTGTGTTAGATCACCGAATGTGATGAGACACTAACTTCAGGCCCTGGGATGGATATAGAGCAAATCCTCCTGGAAGCCATGAAGGACAAGAAGCAATCAGTTAGAAACAGCCAGAGTGAATTTACAAGGGCAATTTTTGCCTCTCAAACCTTATTGTCTTCTATGATGAGATGCCTGAGGGAGGGAAGAGCCCTCTGTGGTCTCAGATATTGGTTATATCTGGTCTGGATAGGTGAACTATAAGCTAGGCAGAAAATTGGCTGAACTGCCAGGTTCCATGTGCAGAGATCATCAGATCAACTTGCAGCTGATCAACTTGAGGCTCAGAGGTCAGTCCTGGGACCAATACTGCTTAATGACTTAATTAACAACCTGAAGAATGTGGTAGAAATTGTCCTCAGCAAGTTCACAGATGATACCAAATTGGGGGCGAGCATTTAATACAGTGGGGGCAAGGCTGCTCTGCAATGACAGCTTGACAGACTGGAGATGTGGGCTGTAGAAACCTCAGGAAGTTCAGCAAAAGCAAATGCAAAGTCTGAGCCAGAATAACCACCCGTAACTGTGGCACACGGAGAAATGAGCAGCTTTGCAGGAAAGGACCTGGGGTGGACAGCATGTTAAATGTAAATCAGCAGAGCAACAAAGAAGTTGTCAGTACTTAAAGGGGGCTTATAAGAAGATGGAGACAAACTTTTTAGCAGGGCCTGTTGCAACATGACAAGGGGGAATGGTTTTAAACTAAAAGAAGGTAGATTCAGACTAGATATAAGGAAAAAATTTTTTACAATGAGGGTGGTGAAACACTGGCACAGGTTGCCCAGAGAGATGGTGGATGCCCCATCCCTGGAAACACTCAAGGTCAGGTTGGACAGGGCTCTGAGTTAGTTGAAGATATCCCTTCTCACTGCAGGGGGAATTGGACCTTGAAAGGGCCCTTCCGAGCCAAACTATTCTATGATTCTATGATTCTAAGATCTACCACATATTGGGCTGTTTTAGCACGAGTCTGGCCAGCATGTTGAAGCAATTCACTCATCTGTTTTTGGTACCCGTGAGACTGAATCGGGAGTATTGTGTCTAGTTTGGGGCTCCCAGTGTAAGAAAGATATTAACATACTGGAGAGTGTCCAGCAAAGTGCCACCAAGATGATCAGGGACTGGAGAGGAGAGGCTGAGAGAATGGAGCTTGTTCTGTCTGGAGAAGAGAAGGTTAAAGGGACGATCTGATTGGGACCTAATTAGATAAGAGATCTAATTGTTGTCTTTAACTATTTAATGGGAGGTTATGTAAGAAATGGAACTGATGTTTTCTGGTAGGCCCACAGTGAGAAAATGAGAGGGAATGAGTTGGCTGTGAGGAATGTTCCAATTAGCTACCTTGGAAAAAAGATGACAGTGTGGGTGGATAGCATTGCAATAGATATTGTCCAGAAAGGTTGTTGAATCTCCACCCTTTTCAAAATTCAGAACTTAACTGGGCAAGATGCTGAGCAACTTGGTTTATGTTGGAACAGCTGATCTTCAGAGGTTCCCTTCCAACGTGCTTCATTCTGTGTGTTTCTAGTATACGGATATTATCCAAGGCCAGGATAAAAGGCTCAGAATTCTCTCATAATGATAGCAATGAAACATTTCCAGAGAGATTTTCACTATGCCCCGTAACAGAGTGGTGAAAAATGGTGAAAAGAAATTGATAATAGTCCTCAAATTCCCACTGGCAACAAGCCTGGTCCTGCCTGCCAGCATCAATGTGCTGGATTCGTGAATACGAATCCTTATCACTGCTTGTGTCAGGTCCCTTGACGTCACCAGCACAGACACCAGAAGCTGGAATCCCATTTTCACTGGTACCATATCTGGAAGAGGCTTACTGCTCGTTATGGGTTTGCATTCACCTTGTCCTCAAGCAAGTCTAAAGGAAGGAAGAGTGCTGACCAAAACAACTCAGTCTTCTGGAAACCAAACTTCTCTGCTTTATGTACTGTGTGCAGTCGGTTGCCAGTGGTTATTAGGTGAGGTTCATTCTGTTATGGAGAGCAAGCTGTTGTTCTCTTACAAAACCCCTCCCAGATAAAAGAGAGGGTTATTTATGATATTGTAGTAAATGCAGATCATACAGCCCATTGCCCTATACCTGATTTTTAGATCCCATAGCTACTACAGACTCATAATCTTATTTTGTGTATTTCTTTTACCCAAGGATAATTCTGGTTGCCATCTGTTTTTCTTTCTTCCTCAAAAAGGCAAGATAGATACCACAGAAGTACATGTTAAGGCAAGCTTGAAGTTGGGCTGAAGGCTGGCTTTAGATTTGTCATCTACTAGTTTTCGTATGGGTGAGAATCTGCAACAGACACAGAAGAATTAAAAAATAAGTGGTTTTCTGGGAAGGTGTTCTATTGAATTTGAATAATTCATTCTTTTCACTTATTTTATTTGTTTAAGGTTGTTGTGAATGCACTCTTGGGAGCTATCCCCTCAATCTTGAACGTTTTGCTCGTCTGTGTTGTCTTCTGGCTCCTATTTAACATTGCAGGAGTAAAATTACTTGGAAAAAAATTTTGGAAATGCACACTCAAGAAAGGAAATATCAGTCTAATTGATAACAAATATAATTGTACTTTCTATAATGGAACATGGACAAATAATGCTGTAAACTTTGATAATGTTGGGATGGGATACTTGGCTCTTCTCCAAGTGGTAAGTTTTATAAAAACATGCTCAGTTTTGTTTTCTTCAAGGAAATATGTTGAGCAGCCCATGGGACATCACTACTCTTCTGTTTATCTCACTGAAATTTGGGATTTTTTTAGCTTCCATAAATATTTTTCTTATCTATAAGCTGCTCAGTTCCTCTTAAAGAACACTTTAGCATATGCAACCTTGTGTTAAAATCAAGCGCTGTGTTTCATGGCTTTTTTGTTTTAATTTTGGTTAACATACTAAGCCTGAAATAGTCTGCATGTTACCGGATTTAAAGTCATTCTCATTTTCTTTAGTAAAAGTTAGTTCAGAGTGGATGAGAAAGAAAAAGCACAATGCAGTTTATTTATATTTCTATATTTTCTTTTATTATGTAAGTGATGAAGTATTGGGATGCTAATTTATTGATCTCCCTAATACCACAACAAAGGTGAGGAAGGCATTTTGAAGTGTGGCTGTTACCCCTGTATCTTTTCTAGATGAGGTTCTTTGCCCCGTATCCTCCAAAGTGTTCTATGATTCTGCAGAGTTGCTAAGAATTGCAGGAAGGAATCGTCTGCTGTTTTCTTAGAAATTGTTTTTATCCTTTTAGCATATATTTGTTAGTTAAGCTGAAACTTTTCCTGCTTTTTCAAAAAGCAGAGAATTTACAAAAATTTCAATTTAACAAGAGTTAACATTAAAACACATTTCACAGGATTCATGGCATTTTTTTTTTCTTTTCAGGAAATAATATTTTTTGTTCTCTTTACTAAACTCCAGTGAATCATACTTTCAAGCAGATCTTTGGAAGTGATGCACATTTTTTATAGCACACTGCTCACTTTTCCACAACTCTTAACACATTTATATTAGCTCTATCTAATTTTTTAATTTATTTTTATGTTAGTGATAATAACCTTAATAATGCATTTTTTTCAGGCAACGTTTAAAGGTTGGATGGATATTATGTATGCAGCAGTGGATTCACGTGAGGTATGTCACTAAAATTAAATTTTAGTTCTTTTCCCTTTCCTTCTTTCCTTTTCTACCCATACAATTCTTTTTTCAGCTTTGTTTGCAATATCAAGTCAGAAATATAAGTGGATAAATGCTTCAAACTACACAGTGAAACAATAATCCGTGGAGTACCAAGTATCTGGAACTTAGACAAAAGAAAACTGGTCAAAACACAGTGACACCACACAAAAACCTACTATAATCAAGAATGCAGAGGGCCAGATGTTGCAAGTTTTGGACAAGTCTGTTTTGGGAACAGAGTTCAGAAAGTCTTGGAGGGCCTGTGCCTCTGAAGCAAATTTCCATCTTTTTTAAATGTGTACAGTAGATTAAAATGACATGCATGTTTAGCAGTTATTTCTGGAGGTTTTCTTCCCTATATTTGACATCCGTAGTAATTCTTCCCCATTCCCATGGGTTGTTTCTCACTCTCTCACTAGTACAGTGTGTTTTAACTTTTCTATGTTTAATTTGATTTGCATTTTCCTTAGTCATTCAAGCGCTATACTCTTGAATGTAGTGAAATAGCTGCTAATTAAAAAGATCATTCCTTGGAGGGCTGATCAGGGTGAGCTGGCTTTTTAAAACTGCTTCTTGTCTGGGATAGCATTCAAGGGGATGGCAGTTCACCATTATGTTTAGTCTGAGCTGTTTTTCTAATCTATGCATTCACAGTATCAATTCTGATTGGAACTGTTTATCTATTACTTAAGAATTTGCTAGAGCTGGATTTGGCTATATATCTTTGTTTGTAGTTGTCTTTACAGTAAACAGTAACAAGACCAAACAAGGCAGCTGTTCTACTTGTACATCTAAATAAAGGTTTAAATGTGTAGAAATAATTTATTCCTTCTGACAATACAAAGATTTGTTATTATAAATTGGAAATGATAAAGCTGTGATTATCTGATTTTTACCAATATTATTTTTATGATTTGATTTTTTTAACAGATAGATGACCAGCCAAAGTTTGAAGCATTCTTAGCCATTTATATGTATTTTGTGGTTTTCATTATTTTTGGATCTTTCTTCATGCTGAATCTTTTCATTGGAGTGGTTATCAGCAATTTTAACCAACAAAGGAAAAAGATAAGTACTACATGAGCTAATTCAGTGTTTCCTGTGATCCCAGTTTGATTAAGTGAATGCTAGTTTGACGTCTAGATGTCTTAACATTTTCAGATAACTGTTTGACTGGAGAAATTTAAAATAATATTTAGATACCAAGTTTTGAAAATAAGAGTCCCCTTTTCCTCAAAGCTTTTAGTAATTTACCTGTAAATTCTATTTTCATGCCAAGTCCTTATTTTGTTCTAAGTAGGAGGATGAGGAGGAAGGAGCGGGTAGTTTTAGAAAAGAGAAGCCAAAAAAAGTTGTGTAGACTTTGCTACAGGAGAGTGGAATTCTTTTCTTATGCTTAGAAGATTTACTTTGGAGAACAGAACAACTCTTTTTGCTGAGAGTAAACACCTAACAAATGTGGTAAGGATAATCAAGAAACACTACTGCTCATGGGAGGAGTAACCACTGCTTTCCTGGTAGAGAAACTTGAAAAGATCTTGTTAATCAGAACTTCTTCTAAAACTAGTAGCATTTAAAAAATCCTGTTGTCAATAAGTCACTTACTGGGGTTTTTAAAAATTTCTGCATTGAGATCCAAGCCCCAGGAAGAGGCCGTCTAGAAATTTAAAGGCTTCTTAAAGCCCATTAAGCACTGACTGCTTCCATTTTTCTCCTCATAATTGTTAGATTCCCTGTTCTTTTTATTCAGTAAGAAATGGAAGGCAAAATCTTAGAATGGAAAATGCAACAACCAAAGAAAAGCAACAGTCAACCTTCCCTGGTTGACTGGTATACTTCAACTTCTTTGTGCAAAGCTTATTTGTCAATTGAGTTCTCCCCCTGATTCATTTAGGGGCTTAAAGTATCCAGAATATCAAGGCGAGCTGAGTCAATTAATCCACTTGGAAGTCTTAAAACAAATAAGCATCTTGCTCATTAAAAAAATACCACAAAAGCAGACTCCAACGGGAGGTTTACAATTTCGAGGTTTACAATTTCAAGCTTCACATTTGGAAGACAGAATCTCCACAGGAGCCATTTGTTATTTCCGTAGGTTGACTTATACACCAAGTGTCAAAGAATTATTGCCCTTGGTAGAGATAGATAGCAATCAGGCCCACAGGAAATTCTTCTGCTCTCTGCATTTGAACAGAGAAAGGATATGTAGGGGTTGAGGAACAACACTCCAACTTCGCTATAGTAATTTCCTTTTACAACAAAGTCCCAGCTATAATAATCCCAACAGACAGAAACAATGCTGACTAAGTAGTTTATGAGCCTGAACACTTAGTAGAAGTTGATGTGAACATAACACTTTTTTCTTTTCTCAGTACATGCTGTAAGTGTGCATTTTTTTCTTTTTCGCTTCTTTGCTGCTTCTTGGGGATTTTCATTGCGATTCCATATAGTGAAGTTAAATTGAATTTTCAGAGGTCTTGCTAGAGTGATTCAAAGTGCAGATGCCCTACTGAACATTGTTATGTTTGTTTTACAAAATACTAATCATTCAATGCTTTTATGATGAGTGGCTTCTCCTGAATACTCGGTTCTAAGTTATTGCTAAGTAATACAGGTGGCATAGATGGTAATAAGATGAGTACCAGAAATTCATTATCAGGAGCCCCCCATAGAACTTGGTCCCAAAGTGCTTATTCATAATTCTCCATTTACTTGCTAGCCCAGCAATATACTTCAGTTCTTACCTTTCCCAAAAATACAAAGTATATTACTTTTTGATGAATCTCATGTGATTTTTAAAGTATGAAATAGATTTGTAAAACTTCAGAAAGGCTCTCACAGTTGACGAAACTGACTTGGTAACACTGCCTAGACTAGACTTTCATGATCAAACCCTGATCAGCTTTTTGCAGTACATCTTTTCAAAGAACAAGGGGAAAGGAAGAAATGGTGAAGACACATTTTGTCTCTGTGCTCTCTTAGATCCTACTCGTGACAGCTGTACCTTACTTTTTTTTACATAAACTTGCTGGTGTTTATTTAGTTGACTGCTTAAACTTCAGCTGAACAACAGTATTCTTTCCCTTTACTTAGGTGGAAAAGATCTATTTTTGACTGAGGAACAGAAAAAGTACTATAACGCTCTAAAAAAACTTGGATCCAAGAAACCTCAAAAACCTATCCCAAGACCATTGGTGAGACCATCTTAAGTAGAATATGATAGAAGATATAAAGACGGTGACCATATTTAAACCCAGTAGCCAGGCATTGGAAATAAACTTCACGTTAGAGCCCATCATCTTCCTCATTCAATATAGTATTTACGTTTTATTCTCTTTTTCTTAATTCTATCTATTGCAGTCTTTCTTTGTGGGTATTAATTTAAGGAAATTTACAGCCTATTTATCACCTATTCAAATGTACAATCTATTTATAAAGGTTCATATTAAGTATTTCTGTTCATAACATGATCTTGGTGACTTAAGTTGCATGATATTGCTTCTGCGACTAGATTGGATTATTGCAGGTGAGAATGAATAGTGAGTAGTACATGTCCCATGGCTGTTATTTACTTTTATGTAACCTTATGCTTTATCTCTTGTAGTTTCTTAAATTTAATTCCAGGCCTGGCTTCACATAGTAACTATTCAGAGTTTTTCTTGCTTATGACATTTTAATTAGAATTGCTTATCCTAAAATGTCTGCTCTAATAAGCATTTCAATCAAAAGAGCAATCGCAATGTACTCTGAATGTTTTCTTGCTGTATAATTTTTTTCTAAGGAAATGTGGTTGCATGGTACCTGTAAATACTTAGCCAAGTACTGAGTGTTTTCTTTGAAGGTCTAAAGAAATCACCTAAAAATGCTTCTAGAAGCTTATTGTTAAATTTATGTTCTCTTAAATTCTCTTTCTAAGCATAAGTTACTGATTAATATTTGAATGTAGCCCGGGTCTTAGAAGTAGCATTAAGCAGTTCTTCTTGTTCTCTCCACAGAATGTGTTCCAAGGATTACTGTTTGATATAGTATCCCACAAAGCATTTGACATTACTGTTGTGACTTTCATCTGTCTAAATATGGTCATTATGATGGCAGAAAATAGCCAGAACAGCGTCAAGGATGTCCTTAATAAAATCAACTTCTTTTTTGTGGCAGTATTTACTGGGGAATGTGTCATAAAAATACTAGCCCTAAGACATTACTTCTTCACCAGTGGCTGGAACATATTTGATTTAGCTGTTGTGGTCCTTTCACTAGTTAGTAAGTATCAATCGTTATTAGATCAGGTAATGTGTCTTACCGATACTAAGCCAAATTTCAATATGAAATAACCACTTACATATATCTGATAAACAATTTCCAGATCCATTGTACTTTTTCAAACCATATGCTAAGTGATTCCTTCTAAAAGGATATCTTTTTGTTTTCCCTTATATTTTTGCAGAGTAATAAAAGCTAAATGGATAGTTTTCAATTTTTTTTTTAAAGTACGAGTTTTATTGAGTAATTAACAGAATAGGAATTTAATGCAGTAACATCTTTTCTAAGTTATTGTACTTAAACTGTTGTCTTAATGTTTTTATGCTTTCGATTTACATGTAATACATTAACTGTTGTTTTCATAGTAAAAGTAAATTCAGATTAAAAAAACATTTATATTTGTATTATATTTACATTTGTTTGAAAAAGGGGAAAGATTTATTTCACTTTCCAGGTCTTTCTTTTAAGGAGGCAGATCCTGAGGGCTGATTTAGAAAGCTCAGGAAAATTTAATTGCTCAGCACCATTCTAAATCTGGGCCACTATTTGTGAATTTGTGAAAATTGGCTTGGTTTTGTTTTGCTTTTCAAATAAAACTAGATGCTTATCATTTTCTCTATAAAGGGTCATAGATAGCTTGAATTTCTTGTACAGTTTATTTGGTCTGCGCTTCCTACTCAGGCTCAGGTTATATCATAGAATAAAGGACAGGGAGGAAAACCTGATCTGAGTTCTCTGCTTTGTCCCTAAGCACAGTACCCCTGTGCTATCCCATGCAACCCAGGAAAACGCTAACTTCTGTTTGTAATCATTTGCATTACCACTGTATTGCTGAAGGTACTCATTACTCCGGTAGCAGGATCATAGAATGAGGTATGAGGGAGGACAAATACTGAAAGGCAGTTTTCCTCTATTTTCTTCTTGCTCTTCTCTGATCTCATTCAAGTACCAAGCATTAATGAAAGTCTCACATTTAGCACATGGCTTAAGCCTGTGGAAGAAGCAGCAATCAGACAAGCCCCATAGCTTCCAGCACAGGAGCTGAATGGTTTTAAAAGGATTTTTTAAGTACTTGAGCAATGCATAATTTCACCCCCTGAATTAGAGAAATCTGGGAGAATGCAGTTTCCAAACTATATGTAATCTTGATACCTCTTTAATATTTAAAGGTATTACAATTTGTCTTTCTTTTCCTAAGCTCTTTTGTAAGCAATTGCAGTATTGGTGATAATGTTTTGTTGAAAGTGATGTAATATGATCAATGTTACTGTCAACACCTGAAGCATAGAATATAACAAAATGGACATAAATAGGGAATTTCACTGATAGGCTTGACAACATTTTGTTTTCTTTTTCATTTCAAAGGTATTGGACTTTCTGAAGGCTTTCGAACTTTGTTCTCTCCTACGCTTTTGAGAATTTTTCGTTTGGCACGAATTGGCCGAATCCTGAGATTAATTCGAAAAGCTAGAGGAATTAGAACTCTTCTTTTTGCATTACTGATGTCTCTTCCCGCACTGTTCAACATTGGTCTTTTGCTTTTTCTGCTTATGTTCATTTATGCCATTGTGGGCATGACAAACTTTGCCTGTCTTGGCTGGGAAGGTGGGATTAATAACCTTTTCAATTTTCAAACCTTTATAAGTAGCATTCTCTGTCTCTTCCAAATTACAACATCAGCTGGCTGGGATGGTCTTTTGGTCCCTCTGTTAAAAGGATCTGATTCATGTGCTCCCAACTTAAATTTAACATATGAACAGAAAAAAAATTGCACAAGTAAGGGGGTTGGTATTTTATTTTTTGTAAGCTATGTCATTATATCATTTCTCATTGTTGTAAATATGTACATAGCTGTCATTTTAGAGAACTTCAGTGTTGCCACTGAAGAAAGCACAGATCCTCTTTGTGAGGATGACTTTGATATGTTTTATGAGACCTGGGGAAAATTTGATCCTCAGGCAACACAGTTTATTGAATATTCTGCTCTTTCGGACTTTGCAGATGCTCTGGCAGAACCCTTACGCATTCCAAAGCCTAATAAAATTGAGCTCATATCCATGGACCTCCCTATAGTTAGTGGAGATAAGATCCACTGCTTGGATATCTTGCTTGCTCTCACTAAAAGGGTCTTGGGAGAATCTGGGGGTTTGGATGGTCTTGAATTACACATGGAAGAAAAATTTATGGCTGCCAATCCATCTAAAGTTTCTTACAAGCCAATTACTACTACCCTTAAAAGAAAACAAGAGGAGGTATCGGCTCTTACTATTCAAAGGGCCTTCAGGAGGTATTTGATGCAGCGTTCTTTTAAAAATAAACGTCATAAACGTTATAACAGTGCTGTCTTTGAAGAAGAAACACATGAGAAGAAAAGTCTTATTTCATCAATGCGTAATGAAAATAATGGTAGGAAGCTAGATAAATCAAGGGCTACATCTTCCATCTCTCTCCCTTTATTTTATGATGGTATTGCTGAAACAGATAGCGATAACGTGGACACATAAGGTTGCCCCAGGCTGCAGCATTTTTGATTAAACTGATATCAGTTATTTTCAGATGGAGAAAATATGTTGATCCTGGAGCATAATACTCTAAATTTAGAATAATGATGGCAGCCTTTAAGTATTGTGATTGTTCAATTTTGCAAATGCTCCTTAAAACAATTAAGATTTGAACAACTATGTCATAAATATTAGAGGAAAATCAAACCATGGAATTTTTTTTCCTCAGCTACTGAAGTAGGTGAGTTAATTTTTGCACCTGTCATTTTTTTTATTACTTCATATTTCTGTGTTTACAGAAGAAATCTGCAGAAGATCAGTTATAATTAATATGATTTATAAGCACACAAGACTGTAGAATAATGTCTTTCTCTTTAGAGATAAAGCCTGGTTTGAAAAACTGGTTACTGTAGCAAAATTAAATAATTACTGCATTTTCTGTAAAAGAGCTCACTCAAGACACTTGAGTATAATCAGCCACTAATTTCTGTGTTGTTTGGGACCATCTTCCTCCTAGTGCCTTTGAAAGGATTTGTTTATGCTTAAGAATTTTTGAGGTGTCTTTACATGTGCACCTAAATGGATTTAACATATCATCCTCAGATGTCTGTGCTTGAAAGTTGTATATAACTTGTTCTTTGTATCATTCAGTGTATGAAAATTATGATAATAATAGTTACCAAAATCAAAGGATGTTATGCAAGAGGTATTGTTTCCAGAAAATCTTAAGAATTATTGTACATAAAATGTCATTATTATACTTCATCCAAATGCCATAGAAAGTATTACTTAGTAATCTGAAAAGGAGTTCATGGTATATCTTACGAGACAACATTTATTAAAGTTAGAGGAAGTGTTTATTTCATTGGTTCTGAAAAAAACCATGTGTGAACAACGTGTATTAATATTTCTTTTACTGGGTTTTTGCAGTTTAGGTTGGTCAGGTGAAGCATCATGGTGGCCTCAGAACCACTAATGAAGTAGGACTATTTTAGATTCTTCAATAAAGAGTGCAGACGTTTAACGCATTTTTGTCTGTTTTGTAAGAGGTATCTTCGGTTTCAGTTTATTACAAGACATAATCTTTTATTAGAGGGGTAGAACCACAGTAATATGATTTTCCAAAAATAGCTACCTATTAGCACAAAAAAACTGAAAATGTTTTACTTTTTACAGGGAATCAAAAAAGATTTAGCATTTTCCGGCCAAAAATATCAGGAACAATAATGTAATTACTCAATTTTTACTGTCATTTACCTTGTTAAATACTATTAAAATATGACAGATGTAGGAAAATCTAAGCTATTTGTAGGACAAATAAAGGCACATGAAAGCTGAGAGTTAGAGTTCAGATACAATACGGTTTGAACTAGCTTTATTACTTTCAGAACCAGCTTCTGTTCAGAAAAAAGTTGACAAAGACGGTCTGCAGACCTCTTAGATAACCCAGAAATTTGCGCTTGGTGTCAGCAGCGCTGGGTAGCGGGACGCAGAGAGATTTGATGGGTCTGCTTGAGACCTGCTCCTGTCCAGCTTGGATTGCTTTTGTGCCTGCGGTGCATAGTGATGCTTTTGAGGTGAAACTATTCTGTTTGGTGTGAGCTGGAATGAGCCCACAGCTTTTGTTCAACCATCAGATGCCATTAGATGGCAGCATTTACTACGTTTTAGAATATAGCCAGTCTTAAGTGAAACAGATGGCGAACTCCTATATTTCAACATCTAGAAACTAATGTCAACTATAGAAAATAATGTCATAACTCACTTTTTTCTGTCTTGGGCTTTCAAGCTAGCCACAGTTCTCAGTAGGTTCTTGTTCGCTGACTGTTCTGGTTTTTACATATGACAGACTGACGGACCTTAATGATTGTGAAGTCCTGCCTCCTGAAAAAAAACCCAAACCATTCTCCTGTGTGCTTGGATCTTCCAGGAGGGTAGTTTCAAGCATAACTCTATAGCTTGAGTAGCAAGAAATATTTGTTAGGAAAGACGTAAGAGTGCTTTATTCTTGCATATTGGAAAAGAAGGAAAGACTGCAAAAGCGATACGAGAGAATTTGAAATACTAATAATATGTAACAAAATGCCAATTTTGTTTTAAATTAATCTGATCTTTACAATTTAAAATTATGTTGTTTGAGGGCAACAGCAGGTGCTGCACCCTGGTCCAGAATTAGAAATACTTCAAAAGTGAACACTCTTATTTCCATTGTAGGGGCAGCGGTTTTGGACGGAATCACACCTGGCATAAACACATCCTTAGTGATTATTTTACCTCAGAAATATCAAAAGCACCTGAATTCACCACAGTGCAAATTTAATAGTCTGACCAATTTTTTAGCATTGCTTAAGAATTAAAGTAGCTTTAGCATACTATTGCAGGGTTGCAAAAGAGAATGGTGATATCCAGCTGTTGCAGCTTCTTCATGCTAGGATTGCCCAAAAGCCAATTCAGCTGCTGAGGCAACGTAGAGTTTCGCTAAAACTGCCTGGACATATGTGAACTTCATGAGAGGTAGTCAGGCATGCTTGGAACACAGTGAAAGAATATTCCTTTCTGTTTATGAAGTTTGATACTTAAATCAGAGAACAGTGAAAACAAAGGAATATTGGATCCCTCTGGTTAGGAAACACTGTGCATGTAAAGCTACCAGTGAATTCCTGAGGACCAGCTATATAATACATCACAGCCTTGCCTTCTTAGGGGCGGTGCAGAACTCCATTATTACATTTCCATTTATCACTTTCCTGTGTAGAAACAGTGTGCTGGTTTTGGCTGGGGCAGAGTTAATTTTCTTCACAGTAG